CCTTCTTTTTCAGCTGAGAAAACTGAAGCCCAGAGCTTCACTTAAGTAACTCACTCAAGGTCAAAGAGGAAGTGGCAGAGTAGGGGTTGGACGTCGGGATCCTTGCTCCGAATCCAGTACTCTTCCCAGTGTACCCCTGCTTCTTTTCTTCCTTTTTTTTTGCCATGATTTCAGCTTTAGCGCACTTGACAATAGCCACAGGGGCACCCTGCTGCTGGTCATCATTCCATATATATTTGTGACTAGCTCACCCTCACTGTATGGTGAAAAATAGGCATTTCTGAGTGGGGACCTTACGTAGTCACAGGCTTTTCAGCAGTGTGAATGGGTACCAGAGATGAAACCACTCTAGACGATATGTCTACAGATGACCTGAGACTGTGGAAGTCACTTATTTACTCTCCTCTCCCTCTACCCCATCTTACAAATGAGAAGACTGAGGTCTACAGAGATTAAGGGGTTTGCCCAAGATCATAAAGGTAATAAATGTAAGAGGTGGGATTTGAACCCAGGTTCTCTGATTTCAGAGGCAGTAGTACTTTTCTTATTGGACCACATCAGTTTGTTTGTTTGTTTGTTTTTAGAAGACAGGGCATCTCTAGTAGGTTAGCTCTCCTTTCTCAAACATTTCTCATTACAAAACCACAAGGAAGTTTATCAACTGCTGACACAAGTCAATGGGTTATATTCATGTTTCTCTCCTTAATTCTATTCTTCCACTATCACATATTGTTTAGTACCATAGCAATTCTTGGGGTCAAGGCATTACTACACCACATAGTTATTGATAGACTTATTTACTTATAGTTATTATTAATATACCAGACTCTTAAAGTCCCAAGTCCCAAAGCCCACTGAAATGGGATTCTCTCTTCATTGGTGGAAATCAATGCCCTGTGCATGTAGAAAGGGTGGAATTCATTTCCACTAGTGAAAAAATAATCCCATATCAGTGGGCATTAGGACTTGGATTACATTAACTTTAATCTTTAGCATTTAACTTGTTCATCTTGGATATGCTGAGCTAGACATTTGATGTCTAACTTAATTCAAAAACTGAGAATCTGCTAAGGTGACATGTAGACTTCTTGTGGAGACTCTCTGAACAAAACCTAAGTAACTTCCATAGACAATAGGATAATAATAAGATCCATATGATCAATGATCTAACGGCCCATATAGTCATATAGTGGCTGCATGCTCCTGGGTAAGTCACTTAACCTCTCAATGGCCCCAGGCAACTTTCTCAAACTGTCATTTGCAGAGCATGTACTAGTCTATACTGGTAGAGAGAGTTTATTCAATTGGACACTTGGGAGTTCACTCACTTTACTAATGAAATCATAGACTTGGTAAATTGTATTTAATCAGAGTGGTTAGTAGAAACAACAGTCACTTGGAGTCCAGAGACCTGGGTTTCAATACTAACTAGTCACCTAAATTCTCATATGTAAATATTACTTTTTCCACATAATTCACACATTCTTTGTGGGGAATCACATGAAATAATATCTGTGTAGGCACCTCATTAACTACCAAGAACTATACCAGTGTAACGTGGAGGTAGGTAGGTCAGTACTACATGGATATTGACCTTGATGTTAAATAACAATAACGATAGCTCATGGAATGCTTCCACAACTTACAAAATGAGTCCCTCCCGACAATCTAGTGATGGAGCTATCAAAAGTATTACCATCTCCATTTTACAGACGTAGACATCAAGGCTTGAGGAGGTTAAGGACTTTGCCCCTGGTCACACAGCTCAAAAGGATCAGAGGCCAGGATACAAAACCAGGATCCCTGACTCAACAGGCCAATATTGTTTCCACTTGAGATGTGAAATATAATCCAAAGGGACATTTTGGTGATCAGGCTATTGGCAATTGATATGTAGACATTATTTTTTTTCACCAGTATGCTTTTTGGTTTGTTCCCTAAAAGGCTAATTCCTAGTCTTTATTACACACTGTTTTAGGGAAAACCATAAGACACAAAGCACTTGTGTACACAGGGCTTATAAATTCTAAGGGCTATGGAGTGAATCCAAGTATTGCGGAGAACTCGCTAATTCTCACTTGATAAGCTGCCAAGGTCAAAGTTATCATTTTATCCTCCAGGAATGAAATAGAAATGTGATTTCAAAGGTCATGTTTTAGAAGGTTTCATCAATATTGCTATCGACCACTCATCTACAGGCATTCAGCATTAGGAGAATGACTCAAAATACAGGGCTGGATAGAACGTAAGTCTTCCTCCCTTTTAACTACTTGGCCAGATATTTGGGCTTAGGGGAAAAAATTCCCACTGGAGCTTATGCTTTGTTTTGGGGGGCAGAATTTGACCCATGAGTTTCCTTTTACCACTATGGAAATTACAATGAAATCCACCAGATGGGTCTACAACCAAAATCAGAAAATCTGACTGGGCTCTGTGATGCCATGGGTCCACAGCTTTAAAGCTGTGTTACAGTTTATATCTTGGGTAGTGACAGGCTGATGGGTTATCCCAAACTGAAAGAACTTGGCTATTGCCCATCTGAGTAGCCCAGGAGAATGTGAAGTTCTTTGAAGGTAGAACTGTCTTCATTTTTGCTTTTTGTATCCCCAGGCCCAGTGCTGCATCTGGCACGTGAGGGACAAAAAAAGCTCAGTGGATAAACAGTAGGCTTTGGTTAGCCACACTGGCTTCCTTTTCATGTGGCTGTGGACTTCAGAAGACTTAAGAGACCTACCTGCTTTTGTCTGCAGTACTATGGGACAGGGAAACAGAGTCTGGGAGGAGAGGAGAAGGGGAGTCTGCTCTGGTTTGGCTTAGTCCTGGGAATTGGAAAGACTTCCAGAAGGCAGAAAATATGGAGATAACCTAGGAGATTTTGACTGAGTTAGCAAGCACAGAAATGACCTCTTAAAGTTTTGGGCTCTTGGTGCTTACATTGTGACACCTAGACCAGATGAAGCCTTTCACATCCTTCCCCAACCCAGATCTGGACTGGAGAAGAGGGTGTCAAATTTTAGGCTACTCCTAGCCACCTCCTAGTCAGTGTTATTCTTGTCCATACGTGGGGAGAGATTGCAAGGGATTAATTACTTGCAGTGGATATATATCAGCTTGAAAGATATGGGGAAATAGAACCAACCAGCTCTCTGAAGGCAAAACACATCTCCTATTACTCTGGATCTCAATCCTATGCCATGCACATTGTGAACCCACAATTAAAGTCAAGTGAATTAAACTGTACTGAACACTTGCTGATGGTTGCCCCAGGAGATCAAAATTAAATGTGACTGTTCTTCAATCAGCTCTAAGCTTGAATCTCATCCTCAATTCTTAACCTAAAATTTGGAATTTTTCCTACAGATCTCTTATGTTATCACTCTACTCAGGGAACCTCAGAGAATAAATAATCTTTTTTTTCTTTTTTTGGTTTTGTTGGTTGTGGTAACAGATAATTGAAACAGATGATCCATCAATGTAAGCCAAATATTTCACCACATAAGTCTTGAAGAGATGTGTATGTGGTTATTGTACACGTGGATTAAATTAATTGGGCCATTTCTAGAAAGGCTTTTGAAATTAGCAATTTTTTTTAAAATGTGGAAATGACCTAGGAGATTTTTTTTGTTTATACAGGCTGGGTTTTGCAATGACATGGGTCCTTCATATCTCTAATGAGAACATCATTTAGTGCCTCTTCCAGATCTACTTTGCTTTCTGCCATTGCCAGTCATGTCTAGCAAACGCGTTGTTTTAAACATTCATTCAAAAACTCAGTTATTTCTAAAAGAGATGAGCAACTAGATCATCTAAAGTGTGAGGGCATTCCCTTTTAAAGAAAGTGCTTTTTAACTATGGGGGCCTTTATAAGAGCTATAATTTGGAACAGAATTTGCTAAGTGAGACAGACACCTCTGCCACCTTCACTTCCTGGCAATGATTCATCTGGTTATAAATATCCTCGAGTATCTTAGAAATCTCAGAAATGGAAGGGACCTTGGAGGAGTCACCTAAACCAAACGTCCTTGTTTTACCATTTTACAGATGAGGAAATGGAAGACCAGAGAAATTTAGCAATTTTCATAGCTAGTTAGTGGCAGGGCAGAGACAGAAAGTCAGAGGTTCTGAGTTCAAATACTGCCACTACCTGTGTGACCATGATCACTGGTCCTCAGTTTCCTCATTTGTAAAATGAGGGAGTCGAACTAGATGGTCTCTGAGGGCCCCTTCTGCCTTTAAATCTGGATTTTCGTTGGCTGTCCCTCATGCCTGGAATGTTCTTCCTCTTTATCTTCACATCATGGCAACCTTGGCTTCTTTCAAGTCCCTTAGAATCCCACCTTTTACCAGAAGGTAACCCTTTCCTGATCTCTCTTAATTCTATTGCCTTCCTCTGTTGATTATTTCCAATTCATCTTATGTATAAGCTGGTCTATACATAGTTGTTTTCATATTGTCTCCCTTATTAGACGATGAGTTCCTTAGAGCAGAGGGCTATCTTTTGACCTTCTTGGTATCCCCAGTGCTTAGCACTGTGCTATGTGCCTGGCACATAGTAGGCACTTAATAAATGTTTACTGACTGATAGATCTACGATTCTATGAATCCGGGTCTCCTTAATTCACTAGGGTGCTTTTCACTATCACGTTCTGCTTCATACTTAAATACTGAGATAGATCTGTGATCAAATGATATAACATAGATGTAAAGTTCTGTGCAAACCTTAGTATAAACTACAAAACCTGAAAGTAAAGAATACAAAAGTTAGGTATTACCTCATTAATTTGTATGTGCTCTCAAACAATTCCAAACCCACCTGTGCCTTCCCATCCCTTGCCCTGGCCTCTTGTTTATGTTTTCTGTCCAGCTAACCCTGGGTTACTTGCTGGGTAGAGAGAACTACATTTCAAGATATATTGATAAGTAAGAATCACTGAAACACCTTACAAAAAGCCTAAGATTGGGGGGTGGAGGGTGAGAATCCACACAAAATGGTAGCTTAC